GGTTAATTTATATGGCTCTAAAACCATATGAAACCAAAAATAATTATAATAATAATATCTATTAGATTAAGCTTCTTGTTTTTTTTTATCACTTATGTATTTTTATATTGATTTATGAATCATCTATCTACACATCCTTATTTTCAATTTTAGTCTTTAACATACTTTTATTTATTAATCATTAGAGTAATTTGTATTTGTTTTATGAAATTCGAATTATAACACTATATATATTTTACTATATGAATGATGCGATAATTTATTTTTCTATAAAAATAAGAGATAAAATATAGTATTTAAATAAATAATAAATATGATATATTTTTGGTAAGAAATGGAAAAGAGAATATCTTGATGAATTACATTAATATAACTGATATAAAATAATGTGTAACCAAATTAATGTGAGTGGCATAACATGTAATTAATCTAGTAATATAAGTCTATTTTTATAACTTTGCTGAAAATAATTATGGTAATAACACATCAGCAAAATGACACCACTGTAATATTTTACAAAATTAAGGTTATTTTTAAAAAATGCTTCTCTTTTAATATATAGAGGATTATTATATAATATCCTTACAAAAATATTTTAATTTTTTATCAAGTTATTTTGTTGTATAAATTAAAAATTTATGATATTTTTTAATCAAACAAAATATTTATAATATTATATTCTATTAACATATTCAACTTTTTATATATTTTATTAATATTGTATACTTATTAAATATTTATATTATTTAGTTAATTTATATGGCTCTAAAACCATATGAAACCAATAATAATAATAATAATAATAATAATAATATTTATTAGATTAAGCTTCCTGTTTTTTTATATCATTTATGTATTTATATATTGATTTATGAATCATATATCTACACATCCTTATTTTCAATTTTAGTCTTTTAACATACTTTTATTTATTAATCATTTGAGTAATTTGTATTTGTTTTATGAAATTCGAATTGTAACACTATATATATTTTACTATATGAATGATGTGATAATTTATTTTTCTATAAAAATAAGAGATAAAATATAGTATTTAAATAAATAATTAATATGATATATTTTTGGTAAGAAATGGAAAAGAGAATATCTTGATGAATCATCATCAATATAATTGATATAAACTAATGTATAACCAAATTAATATGAGTGGCATAACATGTAATTAATCAAGTAACATAAGTCTATTTTTTAACTTTGCTGAAAATGATTCTGGTGATGACACATCAGCTAAATGGCACCACTGTAATATTTTACAAAATTAAGGTTATTTTTAAAAAAATGCTTCTCTTTTAATATATAGGGGATTATTATATAATATCCTTGCAAAAATATTTTAATTTTTTACCAAGTTATTTTGTTGTATAAATTGAAAATTTATGATATTTTTAATCAAATAAAATATTTATAATATTCTATTCTATTAACATATTCAACTATTTTTTATAGTTCAATTTTTTACTAATATTGTATACTTATTAAATATTTATATTATTTGGTTAATTTATATGGCTCTAAAACCATATGAAACCAAAAATAATTATAATAACAATATCTATTAGATTAAGCTTCCTGATTTTTTTTTAATATCATTTATGTATTTTTATATTGATTTATGAATCATCTATCTACACATCCTTATTTTTAATTTTAGTCTTTTAACATACTTTTATTTATTAATCATTTGAGTAATTTGTATTTGTTTTATGAAATTCGAATTATAACACTATATATATTTTACTATATGAATGATATGATAATTTATTTTTCTATAAAAATAAAAGATAAAATATAGTATTTAAATAAATAATTAATATGATATATTTTTAGTAAAAAATGGAAAAGAGAATATCTTGATGAATCATCATCAATATAATTGATATAAACTAATGTATAACCAAATTAATGTGAGTGGCATAATATATAATTAATTTAGTAACATAAGTCTATTTTTATAACTTTGTTGAAAATGATTCTGGTGATGACACATCAGCAAAATGGCACCACTGTAATATTTTACAAAATTAAGATTATTTTTTTAAAATGCTTCTCTTTTAATATATAGGGGATTTGTATTGGTAATTTCTCACCAAATCTGTCAAAATAAAATATTAAAAAATTAAAATAAAAAAGAGAGAAAATGGAAGAAGTCTCACATTTATCCATGAAAAACTCATATCTTATGTATTGTTTCCATATTATTGATCTAAATTTTATAATTAAAATTATTATTATTAAATTGAATAAAAATTCATACGAATATTTCACTAATGCAGATGTTTTAAAAAATAAATTTTGTTTTTTTTGTGTGCAACTGTAAGAAATGAATACGTTACCATAAAAATGAGTCTTAAAGAACAAACTAGTTATAAAAAAGTAGGTAATAGGAGTGCTTAAACACAAATCCCTAGTTAATCACAACAATCTTGGCTTGCATGTACTTGTGTTTTCTCCAAGGACCCATATGCATTTTCTTGTCTCTCAAGCATTTCTTCCCCGTGATGCACAATATCGAAGCTTCTCGGTTTTTCCGAAGTAAACCTCCGGCAATCGGCTGCTCAGTCTCTTTTGTAATCTTCACCGCCTCGCTTCATTCTTTAATGCTTCCTTTGTCGCTTGACTAATCTTTGTCTCTATCGAACTTGTTCTATAGAGTGTCCCCTACACATCCCGTCAGTTTTAGTTTGTTTTGGCCTATTAAGACCATTTTGTATTTGATTTAACGAGTAACTAACTGATGTTTGGTATAATTTATCAGCTTGCCAACCGCACTTTCCCGCTTGTTTGTTGTTTGTTTAGATTGCGTGTTAGGTTAGGTTAGAGTAGTTTAGGTCCTTTAGGATTAGTTTGTTTAGGTTTAGGTTAGATCGAGTCTTAGGTAGTTGACATCTCGAGTGGTAACACTCGGGATTATTTCCAAAGGGACACCATTTTTATTTTCCCCCTTTAGAAGGTTTTTCAAACGAATTTTTTTTTTAAAACGGTTTTCAAAAATTATTTTTCCCGCTAGGTGAGGTACTAGTAGTTTCTTGTCATCTTTAGATACTTGAACATGTTAGGCATGATCAAAATCAAACGGTAACTGTATTTCAGACTGTAACCGGACCGTTTTTAAACCATAATCGCACTGTAACTGTTAACTGTAAAAATAAATTAATTATGGTTAAAAAAGTTATTAACTGTAACCGTTAATCAACTGTAACGGAATCAAAAATGATTGGTTAACTGTAAAGTTAAAACCTTAACTGTAACTTTTTAAACATAATTAAATATATAATTGATTGATTTTAATTATTTTTTCATATGTATAATATTTTGTACTATCTAATAACACCATTTTTTGTTATAATTTTGTTATCGATTGAATATCCTTTAATTTACTTTATTTTTATGTTTAGTTACAGATTTTTTTTTGACAATGTAATAAATTTGGAGTTAAATTATGAGTAATCAATAACAAAAAGTTAATATTTTTAGTTAAAAAATTATGCCATTAAGTGAAATATGGAATAGGCGTTTAGTTTGCAAGTCAAATTATCACTTTAATTTTTATTTTATTCTACCAAACTATATAATTATTTAATTATAAATCTGATATTAATTATTTTATTAATCATTAATAATTATAACTATATTTAATAACAATGTTAATAGTAACCGTAACCGTTTAAACCATAACCACTTTAGCTATATATTTTTTTGTTGTCATCTAATTAATACTTCCTCCGTTTCAAAATAAGTGTCGTTTTAGAGTTTTATTTTTGTTTCACAAAGAGTGTCGTTTTGTATTTCCAATGCAATTTTTTAAACAAAAATCATCTTTTAACCTTGTTATATTAATGTATTAATTAGAAAGAGAATGTTATTTTGTGTGTGAACAAAGGGTAAAACAGAACTTTTAAAACTTTTCTTAACTTTTAAGTGTCACCAAAATGACACTTATTTTGAAACATAGGGAGTATTATACAATCAAAGGGAATACAAGGGTGGAATACATTGGTGAAATATAGAGGTCGAATACAGGGGTGGAATACTAACCACAACCTTCCCGAGAATAGGATACACCTTTGAAATACTAGACTAAAACAACAGAAATTCACCCCAGAAGCTTAACAGACTAAAACATAAGAGATAGCAAATCTAATGAAAAATAACAACTTCTAACCAAAAAGTGATGACAAAACTCGAACCTGCAAATCTTCTGAATCATCTGGACCTAGTGCATGGAAAACCTCATCCTGAGAAGATGAGAGACCACCTCTCCATCACAAAGTAACCAAAGCTTCAAAACCCGGCAAGATCAGATCTATAGATCGAGAAAAACTTCCGGATGCGGCGAAGTCAGACTGGACACGACTATAGGAGCACCTAGATAGAAGCCGAAAAGAACAGGGAGCAAGGCCAAACCCTCCACCTAACCGAAAACATAGACGAAATCGGAAAAAGACAGACCGGAAAGCGCCACCAGCGAACACCAGCAAAAACAGGGAAGAAACTACAAGCCAAGAGAACTAACACCACCCAAGAAAAAAAGAAGCCGAAACTCTCATCTAGCTAAGCTAAGAAACCATATCTGAAAACCAGATCTAGATCTACAAATGAAAAAAAACCACAATAAAACCCAGAAAAAACGAAACAACAACACTAAGAGAAAGAAAAAAGAAACCAAAAACAAAGGGATCAACCCATGGTGTAACTGTGAAAGCCCACACACATCGGCCGATTTGCAGATCTGAAATGGAACTTTTGATAAAGGAAGAGAGAAAGGAGAGGATATTGAGGACAGTGAAGGTAAGGTCGCTTTAACTGTATATTAAACGGCTAAAGTTATAGTTAAAAAAAATTATAACCGTAACCGTTGGTTATATAACTTTAACCATAATAACCGTAATCGTGGTTAAATAACTTTAACCGTATTAACTGTAATCGTGGTCCTTCCCTCTCCACTTTACAATTTACTTAGATGGGCCAAGCTCACTAGATAGTTTCTAATTGGGCCGGGCCGAGACTACGAGACGTCATCTCTCCCCCGAAACCAATCCCGTCGCGGCGGTTCTGCCATGGCGATCATGGCCGTAGCCACTCTCTTTCACGCCCGTTTCCCTCTTCTCGTCCGTCGCAGTCTCCCGTCTCCGTCGTCTCCGTCTTCTGTTACTTTCTATCGCAGGACTGTTCTCTCCGATGGATTCAGCTACCGACTACGCTCGATTCTCCGTTATTCATCCTCCGACGGCGGCGGCGAAATTGGCAGTGGCGTTAATGATTCCGGTATCGTTGCTTCGGAAGTTCAGAGTCCTAATTACCTGAAGTTTACAGACGAAGAGTTGATGAAGCAATGCAAATTCGAGACATTCAGAGTATCAGGGCCCGGAGGACAGCACCGGAACAAGCGAGACTCCGCCGTTCGACTTAAACACCTCCCCACCGGAATCGTCGCTCAGGCCGTCGAGGACCGTTCGCAGCACAAGAACCGGGCTTCTGCTCTTAACCGGCTTCGCACGCTCCTCGCCATCAAATGTAATCAACTCCTTCTTCTTCCTCATTTTTATTCTTCTTTCAACTCTTAACTTCTAAACTTGTTTATAAGTTCTAATTGCAATTTCCAGTGAGGAACAAAGTGGACATTGAAGCCTATTCTCCTCCTCCGGAGCTTCTTCAGATCCTACCTCCAAAGTCCACCATCAGAACTTCTTCTGGTTCACAAATTGGTCCCAACAATCCTAAATTCGTACCTGTATGTCTCTCTCTCTCTCTCTCTCTCTCTTCCTCGCTTCAGCTCTTGCTCTCTCATCTTTCCTTTTACTCACAAGTACAGATTTTTCTTTTACAGGGAATGCAAGCTTTGCTTGATGTTGTTTCTGCTTCTGATGGTTCTATCTCCGATTCTGCCAAATTGCTTGGGTTAATAAATCCTTCTTGAAGCGTTTAATTTACTGGATACAATCTAGTGTATTGTTCTTTTGCCTGAGTTTGAGCCATCTTTATGATATGATGTTTCAGTTTGAGCACTGGTGGCTTATCTCGATTAATACTCTCTCATGATGGTCTTCGTATGGCAGTCAATAGCATGAGAGCAGCCAAGGTACTGTACTGTTTATTCTTAATACCAAAATCCAAAATACTTTGCTATCAGGATTATGCCAATAAGGTAGTCATAGCGCAAAGCGTTTCTCTGTTTTCATTGAAAGTTCTTAGCTTTTCAAAATTCTTTTAGAGTTTTATCTTGGCATGAAGCTATCTGAAACGATGTGTGGTTCTGTTTCCTGCAAACAAGTCTGTGTGCGGATGTGCATGAAATGCATGCTTGTCTTCCTTCTGTGCCATCTCTCTCCTTCCTTCTATAGTTACTTAGCTATTCATAGTCGGTGGTTGCAGCATTGTTTTATAGGTTTTGTTTCAGTAGATGTTGTGTAATTTTGTAAATCATCACTGTTATGCAAACTTTTAACATGCTTACTAGTTTCTAAAATGAAGAAGCTTTTTTTTTTCCTGAGTTTTCAGGGAATGAAGCCTCTCAAATAGTTGGCATGTACTGGCATTTGGAAAATGATGTTCAGGCTGTATTTGGGTTGCTACTGCATTACAAGGCTTACAGTGACTACGATTTCATTCCTTATTTTGTATACAAAACAAAGGTGAAATATTGAGTTTCAGTCTTACGTTTGTTCTTCTAACATTATAACAATAGTCACGGATTTGAGATGATATATACTATAGGCTGTTCAAATATTTGTTCGTCCCCTTTTGTTATGATTGTGTTAGAAGCTATACAGTTGGAACTAATTTGGATTCGTTTTCTTCCTCTCTGTCTTTCTTCTTTTTAATGAAATCAATCCTGTTGGCGGTGTAAGTGGAAGAGGCAATTTTGTATTTTCTTGCATTTCAGAACTTCATGGTTGTCTATAAGGGCTTTGTACCTTGCACGATGAAGTGAATACAAGCTTCAAATTCAATCGATAGTTACTTGCGCTGATGGTATAGCAATGTAGAGTTAGCTCTCGTTGATTAAACAACCTTATTGCCTCAGCTACTAGGGCTTAGTATGCATCTGTTTCTTTTCTTTTCTGATATTACCTACAGTGAGTGCACTTACACGTTTATTACACGCTAAACATTTCGGTGAATGGAGCAAATGCAGAAAAGCCGGTCACTGCCTTCAGGAATGTTCTCAGGTATATTGGACATTGAAAATTAGCAAAAGAGTTTGATGCAAGAGAATCAGATTCTTGAAGAAATGTAGAATGAGGTTCTCTTCTTCCCCACACAACAAAAGAAATAACTTTTATGGAGTTGACTCTTGAGAAAATTTTGTTTATTCATTTTTATCCAGAGAAACCTTCTCTTTGAGAGCCTCGTGGGTGCTTTCTGACTCACATCTCATATAAATTTTAAACATGTATCTGAATTCTGAAGGTGTGTGCTCGAGATAGCAAGATTCCTTGACTTCTCATGGAGTGAACAGCGACTGCTCACCTTCCCCTTTATCTCTGGTATCAATCTTAAGATTCTAACAAGGTCGACAATTCTTATAGTGAATGATCAGCTTTGGTAAACATCTGATGTTGATGCCATAGAGTCACTCTGCTCTAAAAGAGAAAGCAGATATGTTTTGTGGATGTTCTATTTTAGTCATAAAGCTCTTACAGCATCTCTCTAAAGTGACTTTGACTTTCGTTAGGCCTAAGCCCTGTTTAATACTATTTGCCAGGATAATTCCTTACTTAAAGTTGAAAGAAAAGATCTGATTCCTCACCACCACTTTCTTGGGGGGTTATATTTCTTTTATTGGCAACTTTCTCCTCTTGGTACCTCGTGTATAATTGTATAGTCATGTATATATATACACTTTCATCACCGAAACAGTACTTATCTGCCAATAGTGTTATTTACTCTGTATATATCAATGAGGCTTGATTTATCTGCCAAGCTTCGGCAAGTTCTTGGCCACGCCAAGGATCATGCATCTATTGGCAGAGCTATTGCACAAAACTACAATGAAAAGGGCTTTTTTGACATTGAAGTGGCAGTGGTTCGAGCCACTAGCCATGATGATTGTCCTGTCGATGACAAAACCATGCACGAGATACTCTTCCTTGTCTCCAACACTCCCGGAGCGATTCCTTTTCTTGCTGAACAGATCTCACGCCGTTTAGCCAAGACAAGAGACTGCTTAGTCGCCGGTAAAACTCTGTTACTCATTCACCGTCTCTTGCGCAGTAGCAGCCGCTGCATCGAGCAGCAACTCCATATCGCACACACCTCTGGTCATCTCCAAATAGGTTGTTGCTGGTTCATGATGAGCCAGGACCATCCATCTTTTGCTTTTCTGCAGAACTATGTAGGTTATCTCCAAGAAAGAGTTGGATGGATCATCAACCAAGCTGGTAAGCTCGAGCCTGTAATGTCTGGTGGTACAAAGTTTAGCCGGTACAAAGAGAAATCAATGGATCTCGTGTTCCACATCTTACCAAAGTGCCAAGAGTTCATTGCGAAGGTGTTGAAGTGTTCACCGGTTGATGCATGGCCTATCGATAACCTAGTCCAAGCAGCTACAGGCAACATATTGAAAGAAAGTTTCCAAGTCTACATGACGTATTCTGACGGTGTAGCCGCGCTGAGTAACATGCTCTTCGATCTTTCAAGACCCGCAAGAGATTTAGCTTGCGGAATGTTGAGAAAAGCTTCTCAACAGATTCAAGATCTCGAAGTCCTGTATGAAAAGTGTAGAGGATTCTCCGGGATGAAGAGCTTGGATTACCCATCTTTGCAGGCCATCAACATGGATCATGTAGTAGCACTAGAGGAATGCTCTAGCTATAATGCTCCTGCAGGTTCTGTGTTGAAGAGTAGTGGAAGCAGAAGAGGTTGCTCTGTCTCCACTAACCTAAGAGACTGTGCTAGTTTCTCATCTATCACTCCTTTCTCGTTTCCAGTGGAGACTAAAATCAGCATGGTATGGGTTATTTTTGACGATGAAGATGGTGAAACATCAGACAAGTTAACAGAGAAAGCATATGAATGTTGATCATTCATAGCTTATGCCATATAATCAGGGAGATTGTGTATGTGATTCAGGTTACATTATACTATTGTTGTCATTTTACATAATACCAATGAATACACACGGATTATACCGGATTTATACAATAAGTTAGTGCATATTTCAGAATTTGCTTTAGTTATATGCAATGTTTTTGCATATTTTCAGTGTCACAAGTATTAAAGAGCATTTGAAACAAATGGAGATACAAAATACTTCAAACCTTGTATTTGACATCTGCCTTCTTTTTAGATTTCTTGCAGTACAAATACAGAAACAAAGAAACTGTTTTTTTTTTCTTTGTTTGTTTTGTTTAGTCTTGAGTATTGTTTGGACCACACACACAATGCAAAACAAAACAGTAGATAATAGCATAGGCAATATGGAGCATTGTATACAAATAGGGCCTGGTCAGGAAATGGAATCATGGGCCTATTCTTCTGTATTGGGTCTTCTACAAAATACCAATTGGTACCATGCATTCAGGACATCACTAGATTGGCATGAAGTGTCTGGAACATTACAGATTTCTCTGTCAAGACTTTAGTAAAAAAAGAAGAAAAACAAATAAAAGCGCAAGAACGTTCGAGAATCTGTATACACTCTTCTTCACTCCATAAGATGCGTCTATATATATTCACCACAGGCTTACACCTTAACCCTCATAGAGAAGAGAAACAAACAAACAAGGTCATCAGTAGAAGAAATCAACAGTAAAAAACCATTACCCCTTCTGCAAGAAAGGCCAGTGCTAACCAAAGATGAAGCAAATCTCTCTTGCTTTGCTATGTTTTTTCTTAACAACTCTGTTTCTGGGAAACGTCAAAACAACTGAAGGCTCGTTGCCATCTGCACTAGATACTCCGGGAAGTCTACTATCTGATCTCTGGCGAGATCGGTTTCCGGATCCTTTCAGAGTCTTGGAGCAGATCCCATTAGGTCTTGAAAGAGATCAGAGCGTGGCTCTGTCTCCAGCGAGAGTGGACTGGAAAGAAACACCAGAAGAGCATGTGATCAGGCTCGATGTGCCCGGGATGAAGAAAGATGAGGTGAAGATTGAAGTTGAGGAGAATCGAGTTGTGCGAATAAGCGGCGAGAGGAAAAGAGAGGAAGAAAAAGAAGGAGATCATTGGCATAGAGTTGAGAGGTCTCATGGAAAGTTCTGGAGACAATTTAGAATGCCTGATAATGTGGATTTGGACAGTGTCAAGGCCAAGCTTGAGAACGGTGTCCTCACCATTACTATCAAAAAGGTTTCCGCAGACAAAGTCAAGGGTCCAAGAGTTGTTGACATTTCGTTCCAAGAGGATCAAAATGGCAAACTCAGTTCTGCTTAGTCCACAGTGCTTGTATCAGATTCGAGTTTGGTGTCTTGTAAAACCTCTGTAATCTATTTCTAAATGGAATAAATACTATAACATGTCTTTATATTGTGTACTTGTTCATGAATCAGTCCCAATAAAACTACACGAGAAAGAGTTACAAAACTTAAGAGCACCAATGTTTAGCATAAGAACTTCCCCTTCTCGCCATGTTTAGCCTTCCATGGACCTGGAAAATACAAAGAACAGGCAAAAAAGAGAGTAAACTAATAGTTCTTTGCTGGAATCACATGATGACAAGTCAGAGAATAATTGAACAGCTTACTTTCTTTGCTGGAAGATAACGCAATAGTAGTTCCGCATTTGATACTACAACTTTCAGTACATAACATTAACAGTACCACTTTTTAAGTATCATAAACATAATGTAAACTGTGGCGTCCACAGCTTCTCTGAAGTCAGTTCACTATTAGAAAGCAGAGTACAGCTTTGTCAAGTAAAAAACCTTTGAACCTTCCCAAATTGTCATAAAGAGATCAAGTTATCAAGTATCATATATATCTCCTCGGTCTTCGGATGCGATTTACCAAGAGAATAGAACTGATGAACCTCGCTATCAATCTGAATCCAACTGCATCCTGGTATTTTATAAGCATTTTGGTTCTTGATCATCTTCCTAGCTCTGCGTGCCTCTTCCCAATTACCCATCTCTCCATATAAATTCGCCATCATAGCCACATAACCTCCATTGTTAGGATTCAAAGCAACCAGATTCTTCACAGCAACTTCAGCCAAATCCAAATGGCTATACTTCCTACAAGCATTGAGCAGCGATCCCCAAATCGCCTCGTCGGGTTTCATCTTCATACCGGCCATAACTTCCAAAGCTTCATTGAACTGACCTGCCCTGCCTAGAAGATCTATTAAGCAGCCGTAATGCTCAATCCTCGGCTCAATACCGAATCTGTTTGCCATAAGGTCGAAATAAGCTCGGCCTTTCGATACCAAACCTCCATGAGTACATGCGTTGAGAAGACCGATGAAAGTAATGTGATCCGGCTTGATATCGTTACTGTTCAGCTTCATCATTTCTTCAAACACTGTTATAGCTTCTTCGCTTCTACCATGGAGAGCAAAGCAATTGATCATAGAGTTCCAAGCTGTTAAACTCTTCTTGTTCGTCATCTTGAAAACAGAGCTTGCTTCCTCCAAGTTACCACATTTTCCATATAAGTCGACCAAAGAATTCGAAACAAACACATCAGATGAAAGATCACGACGGTATGCGAAGGCGTGGATCCCTTTGGCCAGCTGAAGCGTACCAGTTTGAGCACAAGCGGAGAGGACACAAACCAGAGTTACCTCGTTAGGACAAACATTAGTAGTCTCATTCTCATTGATCATCCTTCTAAACAGAGAAATCGCTTCAACGAAAAGGCCGTTCTGTGTACAAGCAGCAAGAATCGCGTTCCATGAGGGAACATCACGCTCAGGCATCTCGTCGAAGAGAGAGATCGCACTGGAGATATCACCAGACCTCGCGTACCCAGAAAGCAAAGCAGTCCAAGAGACAACGTTTCTCTCAGACATTTCATCGAACAGGTGTCTTGCGAGAGGGATGTGAGAAACAGAGGATGCGTAGGAGTGAAGGAGAGCGGTTTGTACAACGAGGTAGTGATAGAACCCGGATTTGAACAAGTGTGTATGAACCAAAGGAGTGGAGAAAGCAGAGGTGAGATATGGTGTTGATTTGAGGACAAGTGGGTAGATGAAGTGATTAGGGCGAGGAAAAGAGCGGTTAACCATAAGACGGAAGAAGGAGAAAGCAGAGGAAGCATGGAGAGGGAGAGAGGAAGAGTAAGCAGTTAAAACGGCAGCGTAGAGATGCGTATTGGGGTAAGAGAAGCGGTCAAAGATAAAGCGAGCGTAAGAGAGATTACAGAGACGACGAGTACAGAAACGAAGAAGCTTAAAACAGAGGAAAGGCGAGTGACTTAGCCCAGCGACGATGAGAAAGGACTGAACTTGCTTCAAATGATTCAAATGGGTCGAGTTAGAAATCGCTTCGGAGACGAATTCGCCGGATTCCGCCATGCGTGACGGCGCGTGGAGGGTGGCTTCAGTCAGAGGTTTGGGTTTACACGTGTCCCCATGTGCTCTTCCACCAAACGTGATGAGAGAGAGAGAGAGATGGATAATGCGAGTGCTTCGTCTTTTTTCTCTCCTAGTCTATCATTTTCTTTCACTTTCCGCTTTTATCGTCTCTCTTCTTCTCCAAATCGACGGATTTAAGGTTCCCCACTCGCTCTAATCTCTCTACCCTAACGCTCCTTCATTAATTCTAACGATTGCAATTTTGCAGAACACAAAACGTATATATACACATCATCGAAGCTGATGCAGACATATCTCTTCGATTCCTACACCTTTTTTCGGATCTCGAGTTTGGGGTCTTTGTACTGCTTCTGATACCTAATCTGTGCCTGTTTGATTGTATACACACACATATATTGTATTTATTTGAATCAAATGTCTGGAATTTGGAGATGGAGGAATCTAAAGTCCTTAGCTTTCCACGCTCGTTCGGTTTCACCTGTTCCCACTCATCTCTATTCTCTGGAATTGGGATCGTCTCCGCCTCGCCGTCGTCTTCTGCAGGAACGATTCAAATCGGAGCAAGGCGGTGTTGGTAGCGGAGGAAACAACGGCGGAGGAGGAGCAGGAGGGGATGATTTTCCGGTCCCAGTCACACGCCGGAAGCTAAGAGCTGAGCCGAATTGCCCTCGCTGCTCAAAGCAAATGGATCTTCTCTTCTCCAATCGTCAATTCCCTTCTTCTAATCTTCTCCACCGTACCGAAGGCTCCGATTCCGATTCCTCCTCCGCCGGAGACAAAACCAATTTCCAATCCGTCAATTTCTGTCCGACTTGCAAAACCGCTTACGGATTCAACCCTCACGGCGTCTCTCCTCTTCAGGGGACGTTCATCGAGATCGGTCGTGTTCAATCCCCAGCCCCCACCACCAATGCTTCTAAGTTATCCGCCAGGAAACATTCAAAGGATCCAAATCATGGATTCGGCAGCAACAATCTCAGTTCCAATTACAGAAACAAGCTCAGATCTTCCTTCTGGGATACGCTCAGATCTTACGGCGCTGAGCCGCCTGAGGATTGGTCTCCGCCTCCTTCTACTCCTCCTTTGAACGCTTCTCCTCCAAGCAACGTCGCTCCTGCCTCTAACGGCGCCGTCAAAATGGATGCCTCACCGCTACCCGATGCAGCCAACGACGTTAGTAGTCGATGGGGGGGAGCTAGCTTGGGCAGAGACTTCCCTACTCCAAAGGAGATTTGTAAATGGCTTGACAAGTTCGTCATTGGACAAAGCCGCGCCAAAAAGGTTCTGTCTTTTACAATTTTAAAATCGAATTTACTTCTCATTTTCTGATCATGTCCCTGCCATCAATTTTTTACTCACGACATTGTGGTCTTGACGACTTTGATCGTAGGTGCTCTCTGTCGCTGTGTATAACCATTACAAGAGAATATATCATACCTCTATGAAGAAAGGGTTTGTTCTCTCTCTCTCTCTCTCTTTCATTTTTTATTCTCCTGGCTTAGTTTCATCCTTGTACATGATATAAGGCTTATGTTGGAAGCTGACATTTTGGACGTTTGAATACTAGGTCAGCAGCACAACCAATTGATGATGCCGATAATGTAGAATTAGATAAGAGCAATGTTCTCTTGATGGGGCCTACTGGTTCTGGTATGATGGGAGCTTGTGTTTTCTGATCAGATTCTATTCTTTACTACTCATTTGCACTCTCACTGCTGATTCTGAAATGGTTTTGTATTCGATTCTTGAACAATAGGGAAGACATTACTCGCGAAGACTTTAGCTCGGCTTGTAAATGTTCCTTTTGTCATTGCTGATGCAACTACACTGACTCAGGTAAGATTGTTGTTTAGGCTGGAGATCTTTAATGGCTTTTTTAGATCCAAATGAAAAACATGTTAGGCATAGCTCCTGGAAAAGTGATTTTGTATGTTGGACTCTGACCCAGCTTTTGTATGCTGTCTTTACAGGCGGGTTATGTTGGTGACGATGTTGAATCAATCCTTCATAAGCTACTAACGGTACCACTTCTTACACAGTCACGATATAACATTCCAAAGCACACTTTCCATCTTGTTGCGTTTCAGAGGATTTCTTTATTGACTTGTAGGTTGCTCAGTTCAACGTGCAAGCAGCACAGCAGGGAATAGTCTACATCGATGAAGTTGATAAGATAACAAAGAAGGTCAGTATGCAAGACAATGATATAATTCGTGAACTCGATTAGAGCAAAGATAATTGAGCTTTATGCTTCCTGGATTCTCCCTTCTGCAGGCTGAGAGTTTACACATTAGCCGAGATGTTTCAGGGGAAGGTGTCCAACAAGCACTTTTAAAGTTACTGGAAGGCAGTGTAAGTTGATTGCTTTCTTACCCTTTGACGCATCTACTGAAACCATTGTTCTCTGGACATTAGGAACTTGCTTAGGGAGTTATAGTGTAGTCTCAGTAAAAAGGTCTTTGCAATATACCAAAGGAAAGAATGGATAGGTTATATGATATTTGATGTATGCGACCTATCTGTTCTACTTCTGAGGCTCTTTCTCCTAAAGAGAATGGTTCTGGATCCATGCGTTGCTTCTGTATTGATCGTTGGATCTTCTTTCCAGATTGTAAATGTTCCAGGGAAGGGAGCAAGGAAGCATCCACGGGGTGACCATGTACAGGTTTAAAGCAGGAACTTTATCATTGTCCTATAATCGTTTAGTTTTATTACGTATCTATAGCTATAAGTGTTGTTTAAACATATTATTTATATTGTTGGATGTCATATGATGCACAGATAGACACAAAAGATATCCTCTTTATCTGTGGAGGAGCATTTATTGACCTTGAGAAGACCATTGTGGATAGGTAAATTCACTATGCTTTCTCTTTGTTCCAACACACTAGTGGTTCTGTTTCAACTTTGGTCATCATCTCTTAATGTTTTGCCAGACGACAAGATTCATCGATTGGCTTTGGAGCTCCTGTCCGTGCCAACATGGCTACCGGTGGAGTGACCAGTGGTGCAATAACTTCATCTTTGCTAGAATCGGTAAATACAAAAAGGACTCTGTTAAGCCTCTGTTTCCATATGTAAACCACTTCTCTCATTCCTCTGAAAAGAGATCTTAGTTTCGGAATCCTTGCTGCATTTCAGGTCGAGAGCTCCGATCTTACAGCGTATGGCCTTATACCTGAGTTTGTAGGACGCTTTCCCATATTAGTTAGTTTGTCAGCTCTAACAGAGGACCAGCTCATTCGGGTAATTTAACATTTTTGTTCGTAGTTTTATCATGTTGCTACTTCATAACAGCTAGTGAAATCAAAGTGAGATTAGTTATTGCCATCATCGAGGTCTTGATTTTACCCTTCTCATATATAATTTTGCCTTGGTTGTTTCCCCTGCAGGTGCTTGTAGAACCCAAGAATGCTCTTGGGAAACAGTACAAGAAACTATTTAGTATGAACAATGTAAGCTCCCTCGAAATATACACTTGCCAAGACTTAAAATGTAACAGTATTCAGAAACTTGGACTTTTGGCTCCTGAACCTGAATGCTCTGTTGCAAAATTTCAGGTAAAGTTGCATTTTACTGAGAAAGCTCTCGGGGTGATTTCGAAGCTAGCGATGGTGAAGAATACAGGTGCGAGGGGACTAAGAGCCTTGCTTGAAAGCATTCTTACAGAAGCCATGTTTGAGGTACTTCACAGCGACAGCAAAGATTGTAAAGCTACTACTGTATATGACTCTTGCCTTCACACTTGTGTTTCTTTTTGTTCTTCTCAGATTCCAGATGCTAAGAAGGGAGACGAAAGAATCGACGCTGTTATTGTAGATGAGGAATCAACAGGCCCTGAAGCTTCCCGTGGTTGCACAGCGATAATACTTAGAGGAGATGGAGCTTTTGAGCGTTACCTCAGCGAGAACAAGTCGAAAGATGCTTCAGAAACAATGGTATGACCATAAGGATCCTTTATTGGCTGCTCCTTGAGTCAATCTAAACTCGTTATGATCCTCAGTAATAACATTAGTCTCCTCCATGGAACCGTCTCTTTTCAAAAGTCTGTTGAATAGTTATGTTTCTTACAGACAAAAGTCTCAGTGTGTTTCTTTACTAAACGTTACTTGTGTCTGCACTGAAACCTGATGGGTGTTTTACAGGTTGAGGAAAGAGTAGACTCAGCGAGAGCAATGAGCTTGTAAAGAGAAACAGAGAAGAACGGTTTTGTTTTTTTTAACAAAAGGAGTTTCTTGATTATTTGTAAAGAACAAGCATTCATATAAAAGTGCAAGAGGAGGATTTATCCGCTTTGTACAATAAAGTTGTTAGCTTACAGATTCGAAAGTTGAATTATTTTACATAGAAAAGAAGAATAGGAGTGTATTCTTTGCTTTTATTCTATGCTTTTATTCACACTGTGTAAACACAAACATTTGTAACTCTTTGCTTTTATTCTTTAAAGAAGTTGAGTTTCAATTAATCTACTGCACATTACATTGTAGCCAACAACAACACAAATAGTAACAACAAACCCTAATTACCTTCTTAAATTGTACACAAAGATAAAAGTAAACATATACGAAACCTAATTATACTCAAATAACCAAATCATCCCTAATTAGCATCCTAAATTGTACTACAAAGATTAACTAAAACCTAATTCTACTTCCGAATTACCTAACTCATGACTTGAAACCCTAATCAAAGACTTCTCCTCTCCAAAGCTTCACTCTTTTATACAGGTCGACGGCAGAGAGGGCATGAACTATGTCGAAGAGACCACTTGATGAAGCAATCTTCATGGAACTCATGAGCACAGTGAGGCAACTGCAAGATGGGACTACTCTCTGGTTCTGAGTCCGACATGTTCTCCAAGCAGATCGAACAAATCTCTGGTTCCGAATCTGTTGTCGTCGTCGTAGAAGGAGCAGAACTAGGAGGCAAGACGATGTATTCTCTGTGTGTAAATTTGACCAATAGAATCATGAACAAGGGACCTTGCGGCAAGTCTTTCCGTTGACTCTGGTCAACAATCCCATCGGTAATATGCCGAGACAAGACATGATCGTGGAATTCGTCATAGACGTGTTGATAGACATAGTCCGGTGAGAAGCTGTGTAGTTTGAGACAGGGCACTGAGTCGCGGAAAGTGGAATCCAAGTAAGACCCTTGACTCGAGACACGACCATCGTCTACGATGAATCGCTCAAAGAACCGACTTAGACTTACGAACACATGGCTAAACCCTACCGATGGATTTTGAGTCATTGTAGAAGCAGTGACATCTATCTTGACAGGTTCGTACTCCATTGTCGTTGTTGAAATTCAACAAAAGCAGAGAGAAAGATTTGAGTCGTAACGCGTAAGTAAGAGAAAAGAAGTGAGAGAGAGATTAATTTGTTGTGGAAGATTGAAAATTAGAGATGCGAATTGTGACAAGAGTCCTTTGCGGCAATGTGATGTATAATGTATTTATAGATTGCCCTAACGGTCATTAAATAACGCGTAAATGAAAATGCCCTACCGGTTTAATTACGATGTGGGGTGATTCTACCGGAGCTGCTAACCAAGTCGTTTTTGGTATTGTTTATCTGGTTTGTTATGATGGTTCATCGGTTTAAAAGTTAGCTAATTTATGCTGCTTTTAAAACGACATCGTTCAGGTAGGGGGCCTTTTTGTTTTGACTAAACGATGTTGTTTCGTACTTCTTCATCGGATTCTAATCTGAAATGCCCCTCCGTACAACAATAAAAATCTATATATCCTCTAATAATCTGATTACCCCTCTCATCACTGAATTGACTGTTTTGTCTTTCATTTAAAACAAAAAATTCGGAAAAAGACGGATGGTTTTAATTCAAATCAACCCTCGAATTTAATTCTCTAAAACCAACCAAACCAACCAAAATTTAATTCACCCAGTTGAAGAAACACATGTTCTCTATTGCTCATCTCGTTGTCTTCTTCCTCTCACGTTTCCACCATTGACAAAATTGGAGGCGTGAAATTGAAGGTTAGTTGTTTCTGTTTTTTATGCTATTTTCGATTTTATGATTGAATTATGAAGTTTATGTCATAGGCAAAACAATTAATACATAGTTTCTTCTCAATTAGAAAATTTCATAGTAAAGAATTTTTTTTTTTTTTGCTCATTGGAGTGACTGAGCTAGTTGGGTAGGGCTATTAAAACTGATATTGTTAATTAAATGGGATATCTTGGTTAACTAAGCAATGAATCGTAATAAATCGTGATGATTCGTATGATCAACAAAACTTTCTGGGTACTAATGGGTACAACTAGCATAACTGGACATATTAAGTGAATTAGTACGACTAGGATGAACCAAACTTTCTGGATACTACTGGGTACAACTAGCATAACTGGACATCTTAAGTGAACTAGTACGACTAGGAAAACTGGTATAACTATGATAAGATTACCTTACGATTGTTTTGTTCTTTTCAGGGAAAATGAGTAATAGTGGTTGCACAGTCATATGTTTTGATTATGGGGGATTCTATTCAAAAGACGGTGATAAAATTATGTGAAATTCTGTAGAAGATGAGATTCACACTTTAGTGATGAGGAAATCTTTGGAGGATGTCACTTATGTTGGATTAGTGGAGGGAATTTGCAGAAAGGTTTTGATAGATGCAGCTACATCTCAGCTGAAAATTAGTTACTATCAATTGGTCTTGAACACGAAGAAACCATCATATATTTGGAATGACGAAAATGTTTTTGGTTATCTACTACAAGTGAGTAAAGATCAATGTAGAAGTGTTCTACATGTGGAGTTCATCAAGGATGTTGATCAAAGTCATGGAAGTATGCATGTTTCAAGAGAGGATCATGGAGTTGATGTTGATGTAGGTCCGAGTAATGATGAGCTGTTTTCTACCGCTAGAGATGGTTTAGAAATACTAGACAGTGAAATGCAAGATAATGAAATAGAAGACAATGAAATGCATGACAATGAAATGCAAGACAATGAGATGCAAGAAAATGGTACAGATCTTGTACAAAGATATGAGCACGTGTATGATGATACAGAAGTCAGACATTTTGATGGAAACTCGCAAGTAAATCATGAATGGGAAGATGATTTAGATATATACAAAGGTCAAGAATTTGACACTAGGCAGGGACTGCAAGCTCTCCTGCAGAAAGGTGCACATGAGAATGGTTTTGAGTAAGAAACGAAGAAGTTTGAACCCACACATTTCGTGGCAAAATGTTGGGGAGAAAAAGAGGGATGCAAGTGGGGTTTAAGAGCTTCTGTGCATATGAACTCAAATAGTTTCACTATTGTCACTTACAACAAGGCGCACACATGCTCTCGGGTTACTACAAGTACAATCAGACAAAAAAGGAAAGGCACACCACACTTAGTTACGGCTGTTTTGGCTGAAGACTATCCAGGTCGATTCGACACACCAGATCCAAAAACGCTGATCAATATGGTTCAAGGCAGGCGTGGCGTGAAAGTGTCATACTCGACAGCGCTGAGAGGAAAAAACAAAGCTGCTAATAAGGTGTGGGGAAGTTCTGAGGAGAGTTATCGGTGGCTATATTCTTATTTGTACATGTAAGAGAAAGTGAATCTGGGTACACGGACTTGTGTGGAATTAGATGAGCAGAAAAGGTTTAAGTACCTATTCTTTGCATTGGGAGCTTGCATAGAAGGGTTTCTATCGATGAAGAAAGTCATCATTATAGATGGAACCCACCTGAAGAACGCATATGGTGGAGTTCTAATTGTTGCTTCAGCTCAGGATCCTGATCATCACCATTATCCCATTGCTTTTGGTGTAGTTGATGGTGAGAAAGATGCAAGTTGGACGTAGTTTCTGAATCAGTTGAAGTCAGTAACACCAGATGTACCTGAAATGGTGTTTATTTTGGATAGGAATCCAAGCCTTATCAAGGCAATAAGGGAAGTGTGCCCTTTGTCTCAACATGGGTATTGTGTAAGACATTTGTCACAGAATGTGAAAGGACACGTTGCTACCCACAGAGATGCATGTGCGAAGAAGTTCATCGAGTGCGCTTATATAGAGGTTGAGTTCGGAATAATCTATAGTGCTTTTAGGATGAAATATCCATCTGCTGCCGAGTATCTAGACAAAAGTGTTGATGAGAAAAAATGGGCAAGATGCTATTTTCCAGGAGAAAGATACAACATAGATACCACCAATACTGTAGAATATATTAATGGTGTTTTTATAAACGCAAGAAAGTACTCGCTGTTTCCAATGATTGATGTAATTGTTGCCAAATTGGCTGAATGGTGGAACACCCATAGGCAGACTGCCGCTGAAGTCCCACTGTCACAGAAGCTTGTGCCTTTGGTGGAGAACGAAATGGATCTAAGATGTGTGGATGCAAAGAAACTCATGGTGCAAGATTTAAACAGCTATCTCCATGAACACAATGTGATTGGGCTTGATGGGAAAAATTATTTGATTGATATGACTAGGAAAACTTGTTCTTGCAAGTATTTTGATATAGACAGATACCCATGTGTGCATGCAATTGCTGCTGCCATCCATATGAGCAGAGATATGGAACTTCATCTACAAGAGTTTTGCTCTAAATATTATTTGGTAGAGCTATGGGCATTGGCATACTCCAGGATAATTTATCTAGTTCCTCATATGTCTGAATGGGCTGTACCTGAAGAGATACAAGCACAAGAAGTCTTACCTCCAGAATATGAAGTAAAGAAAGGGAAACCGCAGCAGAAAATATTCCCATCAGTTGGAGAACATCATGGAATAGGAAGAGGAAGAGGAAGAAGAGGAAGAGGTGGACACTGGGCTCAATGATTTGGGATTGATAGTAGTGAAGAGTAATTTATGTCTTTGTTTCAAATTATGTCAACTATTTGTGCAACTTTGTATGACTGAGACTTGTATGCATGTTATTTCTATCAGGTATGACTTGGCACCACTAGTACAACTCTATATTCTACGTCTAATATGTATGGTACAACTGGTGCGACTAGTACCACTCGTTTTAAGTACAGCTAGTTCAACTACATTTTAGTTGTATTCAAGTCCAACTAGGAAAACCAGTACGACCATGCTTTCTACAAAAAATTCAATAACACAGTTTCTAAACGTATTTGTAAATATATTTCTATATAAATTAGGCCATTAAAACATGTGCAAACATATTTGAACATTTCATAGTTAAATAAATTTAATCCATGAAAATGTTTGATCCATAAAAATGTGATATCTACACAATCTACCTTATACTTTTAAGGTTACTTTGGAAATCTTAACCACACAAACATGAAAAACCATGAAAGTTTGTATTTTTATACAAGTTATAGCTTTAGAATATGTTAAATGTAGTTTATTTACTAAATTTCAGAAGTACAACTAAAAAAGTTTAATTTAGGGTATGGTATTACTGATTACAAAATTTTACTATCAAAATACAACTTTATGTCTTTAGGGTACAACTAAAAACTGGGTACGACTATGTGATAAAAAAACATGATTCAATTTTTGTTTTGACGGCGCAAGTGGTTCTTTTTTTATTCATTTCCTCTTTTGTTGGTGTACGTGACTTCATATTTTATCGATTTTTAACTTCATTTTAAACTCCATGCCACACGTTTTGCAGGCACACGTTTTTTTTGCTGCCACACGTTTTTAAAATCCAGTTCTAGTTGGTCTAGTTCTGCTAGTTGTA